TGGCGGGTGGGGGGCCCGGTCCTGACTCCTCCAGCCCCGAGAAAGGCGCTGCTGCCGCGTCCGGTTCGTGGTGTTTTGCCGTTGTTGTCTGTGTGCGGCACAGTTATCCGGGCTCCTGCAGGTGTGGCCCCACGGTGGGCTCCCACACGTGTCCTGTCATGGATCAGGGCCACTGGCTCTGCCCCAGTGCCAGCCTTCCGCCGCATCCTGCGTTCCCAAACTTCATACACCCTGACTGCGGCTGCTGCCTTGTGCCCCACGGCTGACCTGGCCACAAAGGGCACTGCTGGGCTCACAAAACGTCCTCGAAAAATGTCCTTTACAGGTGCCTGGGCAGCACTGCATCACAAGATCATCGTGATAATTTTACCTGTTGGCCCCTGTGGAGCCAGATGTCATCGTGCTATTTTAAATACTTTGTATTTTGGGTTACAGTAATTTTTTTTAAATTGTTTTCTCATGCAGGAAATCCTTGGTCTGCAGCCAACAAAACGAGGACTGCAAAATCCCCAGGCTCCTGTTGCCTCCAAGATTGGAAATTGCCTGCATATAGAATCAATTAAAAATAATTTTGCATGATAACAAAATAATAAGGGGAAACAACTGATATTTTTTTTTCTCTCTCCTTGCTGGGAGCAATGTGAGGCAGCAGCAGTGGGGCAGGGTTGGAGAGGACAAGTGCCGTGAAGTGAATTCACTCAGCTGTGAAAGACTTTCGCTTCCAATGTGAGCATTTGCAGAGGTTTTTCTTTATTAGGATGATTTTTAGTACATTTGGGGTAGGAGCCCGTACACAGTGCCCCTCTTGCGTGTGGGGCGGAGAGTTCAACCCATTCGGTGTCTGCACCCAAGAGAGGAGGCTGGGAAGAGCGATCGCTGGGTGAGACAGAGCCCAAAGCTTCCCCAGCGCCCCCCCTTCCCCCCAAAAAATAATAATTTAAAAATAACAATTGGAAATTAATACTCAACTAGATGGCAGCAGATAAGTGTAGTGAATCAATCTGTGGCAGGGCAGATAAGCACAGGCCAGAGGCTCGGAGGAGCAGCTGCCTGCTGAGGGAGATGACAAGGTCATCGCCAAACAAAACAGCCCCCTGCTTCCTCCTGCTCGCTCCCCTCCTCTCCTTTCATTCCCACTCCCAGCCAAGCAAAGCACTTGCCAAGCAAGCCCTTGACAAAAGAGGAGATGGTCGGAGTGCAGGAGCGAGGCTGGGAGATAACGCGGCTGCAGCCACAGCATCCCTCCTGGATGGCTTTTGGGAAGGATACGCTCGTTAATACGGATTTAATTCATCCCACGGTGCCCCTAGGGGGTGCCTCAAGGGGAACCAAGTGGATTGGGGTTTGCTTGGTCTCCCATAACCCATCCCCTGCCCTCCCCGCATCGCCCCAGTCCCTGCTGTGCCAGCCAGGGGTGCTGGCATGGGGACGTTGCCAGATCTGCCATGCCAGGGGGGACCAGGCTGCTGCCAGGGCACGTAGGAGAAACTGGTCCCAATCCTTTGGAACAGGGTTTAGCTGAGATCCCCTTGTCCTGGTTCGAAAGCAGCGACAGTCCCACCCTCACTGTGTCGCAGTCTGTAGTCAAAATGATCCCCCCATTTTCCCACAGACATATTTCAACTATTTCTAAAGAGCTTATATTTTCCCTTTCATTTCATTTTACTCCCTGGAAGAAGTGAGGATTTCATTCTGAAGGGCTTTCAAGCCCCCAACCCCAAAACCTCCCTTGTCCTGCGCTGAGCACCACATGCAGCCACAAAGACAATCCACCCAACCCTCCCATCGCCCCCAGCATCAGGGCTTCACCCCGGCTCCAAACCCTACAGACGCCTCTGGGACAGCAAAGACTTGAATATCTGATGCGAGAAGAAGAAAAAAAGGGGTTGTTTTATTTTCTTCTGCTGTCCGGCGGGCGGGCAGTGCAACGCTTGGCTCTACAGGCGTGGGGAGGGAGCAACCTGTCTGCTTGTTTGTGTGTTTTATTCAGGATGAATCACGGCGCCGTGGGGTGCTGAGCCCGGCATTAATAAACCTGACAGCTCCTCGCCGGGGATAATTGCAGCAGTTTTGATAATGATGGTGTTACTCCAACGGGCTTGGGGCAAAAAGAGTCTCTCCTGATGGCCGAGGCACTGCGATGGGGAACGATGATGTGCAGCCGCCTTCCCCAGCCCAAGCACCCCTGGGTGCTCTGGCTCTGTAGGAGTCACTACAGAAATGGGGCTGGGGGTGGCATTGCTCCTGGGTGGCCAAATGCGGTGTCAGCAGCTCCCCCCAACACATCCCCCTCCCTGCTGACAGGTTTAACCCTTTAATCCGCACCCCAAATGTGGAGACAAAGCACCCTCCCCAGCAGAGGGTCACCGGGAGCAGCAGCAGCAGCACGCCAGTGACCCCGGAGCAAGCACAGCACTGCTTTTCTCTGGCTAAAAACCAGCAAAGCAGCTAAAAAAAAAAACCACCCCAGAATTTCTCCAGCATAAGATCTGCTGCCTGTATAGAGGGCATATTCCTGCCTATACAGCCAGCATGCAGCCGGTAAGTGTGGGAGCTGGCAGGGTCAGTGGTGGCTGTCCGGCTGGCGGTCCATGGTCCCCGAGCCCCTCAGGCTGTCGGGTACCTGTACCTGCAACTTCTTGGTCAGCAGCTCCTCGTGGGGAGGTGGCAGGGGCCGCTTCAGCCCCTTGGTGGAGGAGCTGGAGGTGTCTTCTCCTGCAGCAGTGAGCTGTGTCCCCAGCCCATGCCAGGGCTCCGGAGGTTGATAGCCTGTCTGGTTGGGATCCAGGGGGTCTCGAGAGAGCAGGATGCAGATGGAGGGGACGTTCTTATGGACGGGCAGGTTCTGCGCCGGGCCACCGGGCAGCGGGTCCTGGTTCTCCCAGACCTCCAGCAAGGTTTTGTAGCGCACCTTGGTGACCTGGTGAAGACCTCCCAGCTTCCGCTTCATGATCTCCACGCAGGTGATGGTCTTGGTGACTGCCCTGCCGCAGCCGCTGAAGACGATCTGCCGGCTGCCTTTCAGCTCCATCTGGGCCATGGCAAAGTTCATCAGGTTCCTGATCTTGCTGCCCTCCTTCACCTTCATCTCCACCACGTCTGGGGGCAGGTCAGGGAAGGGCAAGGGGGTCTCCTCCTCCGAGGTCCTCACCTTTCGGAAGTTCTCCATCCTGGACTGGGTGACGGGCTTGGCTCCCCCTCCTTTGGCAGCCATCCTTTGCACTTTCCCAATGGATCTGCTTGGGCTTCTAGCCCCCTGGGACCATGGCGGGGCTGACCCTGCTGCCCTCCAGCCCAGCCCACAGTAGGGCTGAGTTTAACCCTGTGTCCCCAGGACCACCACCTCCTTCCCCTCTCCTCACCCAGGGCTGGCAGTAGGCTTGGTGGCTGTGCCAGAGGCTGTCCCCCGGGAAGGACAGGGTTGCAGGATCCCCTGGGTGCCCCTGGTCGCTCCCGGTGGGGACAACAGCCAGCTCCGACTCTCCGTGATGCTTGGGCTCCTCCGCTCCCACTGCAGCACTCGCTTCTGCTGCTCTTTGCTTCATTCTGGACTTCAGCAGCCCCCAGAGCTGTTCTGTGTAATTAGCAGATCCTCCCTCTCTCCCTCCCCTCCCCTTCCTCCCCTCCTCCTCCTCCTCCCCTCGCTCAGCACCCAGCTCCTGCCTTCATCCCTGCCTATCCCCGAGATGGGGCAGGCGAAGGGGAGGGCAGGGAGCCCAGGTCCCCAGCCAGGAGGATCCAGGCAGGGAAGCAGCAGGCAGGGAAGGGGAGGAAGAGGGGAAGGTGGAAGGCAGAGGGAGAAGCTCACTCTTGCCTTCATGATGCTCTGAGAGTCCTGCCCCTTAAAGAGAACCTGGTCCCTTCTCTCAGTGCTTGCACCACTCAAGGACACCAACTGTGAATGTCAGCGGAGTGCAGGCAGCCGTCCTGCCTGCATCCCTGCCTGCATCCCTGCCTGCATCCCCAGAGGGACAAGGGAGTCCCAGCAACACCGTGCCTGGGGATGGCATGGAGATGCAGGAGGTACTTTGGGAAAGCCGGCAACCTGAGCTCAACCCTTATTAGCCATCAGAGAAGCTACTGGGACCTGCAGGCAGGAAGGGGGTCACCATCATATTTACTGGGAATACATCCCAGGAAGTACCTATTGCAGGCCAGAAGATCTCTCCTTTCTGCCCCAAGTCCCTGCTCCAGGCAGAGGCGATGTCCTTGCCCCAGGCTGGCCCTCTGCCTGCCCCTGTCACCTGCCTGTCCCCTGCCCGTCCCCGGCACCCCCAGCCTCCTGCCCCGCTGCCCGGGGGATCATTGCACAGTGGAAATACACGCTGAGTATTGACTTGCAGTCAAATCTTATCAGCCTCTGGAGGCCCCTGGATTGTTTTCACTCTGAGCAGGGCTTGAGAAATGCATGAATAAATCAGTCGATCCGATGCTCACGGAGGTGAAGGCTGTGGCAAAGCAGGATGTGGCCGTCGTGAACCCCTGCATCCCTGTGGTCCCCAAAGAAGCTTTCTGTGGGTACCACTGCCCTAAATGGGAGGTGCTAGAAAACCCAAGGGAACGGGAACATCATTTCCTGCCTCAGCTAACAGCCCCTTTGGTACAGAGGGGGAAACTGAGGCAGGGCACGCAATGCTCCCAGGCTCACCCCAGGCACTGGATTCAGGCTTTGAGCATCCCCCAAGCCTCACCCGGTGCTCTGTGGCAGCAGGCATGCCTAGTTGTCACACTTCCGCCATTAATCTCTCTCTCATACGAGACAAAACTGTGTCGTTTTCCCCCCTTTCCGCTCACTGACTATTTGTGTCACCCATGCAGACGGTGCTTGGCTCCGTCCTCAGGCAGACAGGGCTGGATTAAACCTCGGGAAATTGCTGCCTTCAGAAGATGCTAAAACCTGGATGTGAACCATCCAGCCCTTTTTTTCCTGGCCCAGGCCCAGCTCCTGCCTCCATGACCCATTTTTTGGGGCCTTGGAGTGCCTTCCCCACCCGTTGCGTGATGGAAGCCGCAGTAGCTTCTCCCCCCGCCTCACCTCCCACCTCCTCTAATTGCTGCTTAACGAACTCTGCTTCTTGCAGCCTCCAAAATGAAGGCGGCTGAGGTGCAATCATGGCCTGCGTCCCTCAAAGGGCTGCGGAGGGTGTGCTCCCCCCAAAGCAAAGACTGCAGCAAGGGGGATGTTAATGACAGGGTCTTGGTTTTCCTCTGCAGTGCTTAAAATGTAAATGAAATTCATTATTAGCAACTCCATCGCTAATTACCATCTGAAGCCATTCATTAGCCTGGCAGCTTATTTGTTGGAGGACAACAGAGTGGATCGGTTATTCCAGGCTAAAGGAATAGCTGGAACGAGCTCAGCCGCAGTGAACAGCGGGGCGGGAGCAGGAGCAGGAGCAGAGTGGGGATGGGGGGACAAAGGCACAGACAGCCTCAGCCCTAAGGGCACTGGAAAAAAAACCCACTGGGAAAAAGGATGGGGAATCATTTAAAATGGAGAAGAGGCAGATGGTAAAGGCAAGAATGGAGTAAAAATAGGAATAAAGCAATTACACCCTGCATGTCATCTGTCTGTCCTCCCTGAGCATCCACTCTGGTTACACTGGGACCCAGGGACTGGTTTCTTCCTTTCCTCACTGCAGTTTCTCTCCTAGCATCCCTCATACCACTGGGATGGGCTGCCAGCACCTTGCAGGGCTGGGGGTCCCAACCCAGGGGGGTCCCCATCCTTGCGGGGCCCTCTTGCCTGATCCTACAGGAGGTGGGAGACTGGAGCAGAGGAGCCGAGCAAGGAGAGCTGGTGGTGGCAGAGATGGAGATGGCTTCAGAGGACTGCACAGAGCCAGAGCTGACAGCAGCCATGGCCACGGCCAAGCCTGGGAAAGGGGAAAAAACCCAGAAAAAAATATTCCTGACAGAGAGCAGGGCAGCTGGAAAAGAGCAGAAACCAAATCCCCTGTCCTCCACCTGCCCCCTCTATATTTTCTTTCATCTGAGGTGTCCCTGGATGGGCACAGCTCGGAAAGTTGAAGCATCCGATACAAGGAAAGTCTCAGCACTGCCATCCATCTCTGCGTCACATCAGCCCAGCTCAGGTCTCAGGTGCTCATCACATTGCACTTGGCGGCAGGCTGATTGCATCTCTGGGGGGGAGGTGCAGATGGACCCCCTGCCCCAATCTTAACCAGGGTCCAGGAGCTGCTGCTTCCCAGGACCAGCTCCCAGAGGATGCAACCTCAGGTCCCCCAGGGTACAGGGACTGTTTTAAAATAGTAGAGAAACCCTCAGAGCCAGCAAAAAGCCACCCTTGTTCCTACCACAAGCAGAAAATAGCAGAGTTCAAGATAATCTTCATTGGGAGTGGGCAAGCAGTAAAAGAAAGGAGGAAAAAGAAAACCCTTTTATAGAACAAATCCCTTTGCAAAGCTCCAGTACAACCAGCAGGAGAACACAGTAAGGGCCCTGAAAGCATTAATAAACCCTCACGGTCCTGACCAGCCCCACCAAGGATCTCCCACCCACATCCTGCCCATGGCCCAGGAACTCTTAGTTTAAGCTCAGCCCAGGGGTTGTAGTCCTAGTCTGAGCTGCAGCTGTCCTTATGTCTGGACTCTAACCCACGGATCTGACCTGCAGATTGATTTGATGGCTTGGTTTTGAAGCTGTCTGCTTGCTGTGGCCTTGCTGGTTGAACATGGTGATCTTGCCCTGCTCAAGTATTGTGGGATGGGCATTGGGCAGTGAGGCTTTTCTCCTACTCTGTGTTATCCCTTGGCTCCCCAGACATCCCTCATGAGCAAGGGGATCACATATCCATTTAATTTCTAAATGTTTTTTTTCTTATAAATCCTGTAGGCAGATGGAAATGTGGTGGTGCTGAGGGTGAGGAACAGCTCTGCATCTGGCTATTCCTAAAGTCTTGATGAGGTGGGAAGGTGCTGGGGGACCTGAGGCAGGCAAGGAATCAGGTATAGAGCAAATCGAGATGAGAGAAAGCTCAAAGGACAAGAAATAAGGGGCATAAAGGAGTTCCTGTGGTCCTGGGTCCAAGGGAGGGAGCTCACAGCTGCTCTGTGGTGAAATTGGGACTGAGCTGAGCCTGCCACAAAATCCTCCCCAGGGAGCAGGGCTGGGATTTGTGGTCAGTCCTAAATCCCTGGGGTAGAGGGATGCCTGTAGGCAGGGCCAGCGCAGCACTCCAAGACTCAGAGCACCCCCGTGAGGTCTTACACGTGGGCAAGCAGTGGTGCTTGGTGAGAGTGGGGATCCGCAATCATGTCCCCTTTTCTCAAACTTGCTATTCATGTTCCTGCCCTTACTCTCCTGCTGTCACACAGGGGATGGAGCTGGATGCATCTCTGCAGGGAGCAGCAGGCTCCAAGACCCAGAGCGTGCTTAGAGAGGATAGCTGGGTCTTCAGATATGGGGTCATCTGTGGCACGCTTATTTTCCTGGTCCCCTCCATTTTGCCATCTGTGAAATAGGTGTTTTGCCCATTTCTGTGAGGTTTCCTTCCTAGCAACCCCACAGAGCGATGCTGTCCATCTGCTGGGGTGTTTGGTGACCAGGGTTGGCCGGTGTAAAGCATCCCTAGCATGGAGAGAGAGGTTTATCTGCTTCCTTGCCTTGCTCATCACACCTTCTCATGGTGGGACATCATCCTTGATGACACTGAGGACAGGAGACCCTGCCTACCGGGTCCTCTGTGTGTTGCTTGGAGTCCTCATGCTGGTCTGGGATCAATGGCCCCTTTAGGAGCTTTTTGTCCTTGTTCTGGCTCACCTGTGAGCCAACCCAGTTTCTTGTTAAAATACCAACTTCCCTGGCCTCGCTTGCAGGTGATGGCAAACAGTACATGCCTGGCAAGCCCAGCTCGTGTGTGTTTTGCAGAGTGCATGCTACAAAGCACATCTCCCCTCCACGTCCCAAGGCATGGTTCTGTGGCTCCATTGTGCTTGGTTTGAAAAGTAGCAATAGCCCCAAAACAGCGTGACAGCAGTGACACAGAGCTAAGAGTGGAGCAGCGAGGCCAGACGCTGGTCCTGCAGAACCCTGGCCTGGAGTGCAGCAGGGTGTGGACATGGGGTCCCCTAAATTTGGTCCTGCTGGTGGGATCTGTAGGCTCCCCTTAGCTTCCTGGGTACAGGCAGCCTGCGCTGGCCCAGGCCCGTCTGCCCCATGGAGGGTCTCCCCCTAACCGTGTGGCGCTTACCA